ATGAATCCACAGGCATCGAGGTTCCATCTTTTTCCTCCTGCCTGAGGTTGTTCTTGTGACTCTCAGAGAAGCTTCCTCCCCTGGTTTTTGGTTCCTGTAAGATCAGCCTTCACCAGGGAGCCTGGAGTCCCAAGGGCAGGGGCTCAGAGAGGGCAGGTTTGCAAACAGCTAAAGGTCAACCCCAGGAGACCAGAATAGGAGGTGGCATCTTGTGGACTCATGAGGATGGGAAAAGGGACACCAGGAGGTTTATGTTTGGGAACAGAGAGGGAGCAGCAGTCAGAGCTTTGGGCTCCGGACAGATGCAGATGTGGGGCTGGGTCACATGGACTCCTGTACTGAGGTCTAGAAGGTTCTTGACTCCTGCGCTGGACATAGCTGTGTCGGTGTCCTTGTGACCCTCTCTGTGCTTATCCTGGAGGGTTCTGTGGCCTCAGGATAAAGGCCCTCTCAGTGCAGAGGTGACCAGGCTGAGGACACACTGTTGGGAATGGCTCAGTCCTCAAAGCCACTGATCCTTGGAAGGTCCTCAGATCCTCAGGTGTTGGCAGGAGAGATAAGAGACCAGAGCAGGGTCACCTGGTGTGATTTTGGACACAGACAGTGCCCAGAGAGTTCTGCACACAGAGGAATGGCAGTGGAGGCCGAGTGTCCACTCCTCTGGTGTCTGAGTGCTGTGTCCTGCCTGCCCTGTCTGGTCATCATGGTCATCATGAAGAGCCTCCTCTTAGGACAGGGTCTGAGAGACCTACAGGAATCATTCTCGTCAAACCTGAAGGCAGAGTTATCATCTCTGTATCTGTGAGACAAGAAGGGGGTCGCAGTTCTAGGGCTCTGCTTAAACTCCTGCTCCCAGTCAGCCCGTCTCTGTGCAGCTGCAGTTCCTGATGCAGAGGAACTGAGCCCAGCAACTGTGACGGATGAGTCCGCTGGGCCAGAGATGCAAAGTGCTTCCATCTGCATCGCCAGGCGCATGAGGAAAAGGGTATTTTCACTGAACCCAGAAGGATGGACTGATAAAATAGCACAGTGCCAGCATAAGATGGTCCCTGTGCTGGTGTTGGTCACAGCATAGACAGGGTGGGGAGTCAGCTGGGGGTGCAGGACTGGAGGGAAGAGCCTTGTACCTAAGGAGCGCTTGGTGACAAGGAGGCTGAACACAGCCTTGTGATAGTTTCTGCCTGGGGCTGGGTGCAGTGGTGGTCTAGGAGGCTGTGATGACCAATATGGAGCTGGCGGATCAGGATGGGTCCCCTGATGGTCCATCACTGCTGTGCTGGGTCAGGAACTTAGGGGCTCATTTCCATGGTAACCTCCATCTCTTTGCTGCTCCCTTCCAGGAGGGGTCCTGGGGCCCTGAATTGCTTCCTGAGGAGCAGCTGCTTCCAGCAGCCCTGGGGAGTCTCTGCTCCCCAAGAGTTCCCAGTCCCCCACCCCCAGCTTACTGAGAAGCTCCAGTGGGGAACCAAGGAGAAAAAGATGCAGATCAGTTCCCCCTGAGCTGAGCTTGTCAGGGCCACCAGCAGGGGGGACTGCATCAGGTCCAGAGAGCAGACAGGAGGTTTTTGTCTCACTTCCCCCTGGGTCTGGAGCACTGTGTGAGCATTAGAGTCATCGTGCCATATCAGACAGTAATAGTCAGCCTCGTCCTCAGCCTGCAGCCCAGAGATGTGCAGGATCCCTGCATGGGCTGAGGCATCTTTGGATCCAGAGTAGCGGCTGGGGACTCCGGAGCCCTGGTGTTTATTTGAGTCTGACTTGAAACTCAGGAGATACCGGGGAGGGCTCCCTGGCTTCTGCTGGAACCAATGTATCGGATAGTAACCAAGATCGAGGTCACTTCTCAGGGTGCAGGGGAGTCTGGCTGATGCTCCCGGGGATGCAGACAGGGAGGGCGGCTGCGTCAGCAAAGGCTGGGAGAGGGCACCTGCAAACACAGACACCCATTGTGATGGGGCACAGACCAAGTTTAAGAGTCTTGGTGGTCAGAACCAGAGGAGCTGGTACCAGCCCAGGCACCTGCAGCCTGTCCTCACCTGTGCAATGGGACAGGAGCACGAGGAGGAGAGGAGTCCAGGCCATGGTGGACACAGACTCCTGAGGCCCCAGAGCAGGGCTGACAGGTCCCAGGCTCTTTTATCTTCTCCACTGTCCAGCAGGAGGTGGGGCATTCACACTAATTTGTTTTGCTGACTGGAGGTCTCTGCCCCACCCTGAGGACTATTTGACATTTGAGCTTGGTTTTTGGACAGAGGGTCTGATGAGTGATATTCACAGTTTGCCCCATGGGAGTGACAAGGAAGGAAGCAGCTTCTGTGACCTTCCACAGGCCTGTGAGCAGGAGACTCTGCCCAGCCCAGGGAGGGCGCAGCTGCTGAGACTGTCCCAGTGAGTGTAGGCTCCACTGCCCCAGCTCTGGGGAGTGTTGGAGTTGGGCAGCTGGGGTGCCCCTGTACAGACGCGGACAAGACCCACAGTGCCCCTGCTCCCTGCTGTCCAGACTGCAGTCTCTCGGGGGGATCATGTGAGTGGGGTCACCTGAGAGCCTGGTCACTCTCAGTCCACAGCACCCAGGGGCTACACTCCTCTCTGTCCCTTCCACAGTGACTGTGCCCTGGGTCTCAGTGGAGAGTTGTCTCCTGATGAGAGACAGTTATCACACCGGATTATTAGAGAGACTTAGTATTTCAGGACAAAAATAGACATTTAAAATTGGGTGATGTGTTGAGGGCAAAGCAGGAGCCATAACCCACAGTGGCCCTGTGCACATGAAGTGGAAGTGCAAAGTCACGGAGGGACATTTATCTGCTCCAGAGTGCAGAGGTCCTTAGGAGTCCGAGTGAGGGGATGGACTCACTTGTCATGTGGGTTGTTAGGGACTGTGAACGGGAGACAGGAGGGACGAGAGTGACATTTTAGGAGACGTCCCTAGTCAGGTTCAGCAAGGAGCCTGGAGGCAGCAGAGCAGGTGAGGGAGTTTTGGGGGGCTGAGGGCTGAGCCCAGGGGTCTGGAGGAGGAAGGGCTGAGAGAAGCTCAGGAGGGAGAACCCAGGGTGACAGCATCCCTGGAGGTCAGAATGAGGCTGGGGCTTGTCCTAAGGGTGACCAGGTGGGTTCTGTCTTCATTCACTGTCATGTGGGGGAGCACCGAGGATGA